AGGAGCTATTTATACTTTAAGTAACATTTAGACTGGAAAAAATAAACATTTTTAGGAAATTGTGAGTATATCCATATGTTCAGGAATCTTTCTTTCATCTAAATACTTTAGATTTTAGCTGGGAATGGGTGGGCATGAAGACAGTGGTGCGAACTACTGTGGCTAAGTCCTAGTCATCTGGCCGTCTGTGCCACAGTCCCCAGAATCACAAACCAAACTGAGTGATGAATGTGACCCTGAAATTTTACTCCTAGGCATGTACTGAAAATAACTGAAAACAGGTACTCAAGCAAGTACAGGTATAAGCACTTTCACAGCAGCACTATTTACAATAGCCAAAAAATGACTATCGGTGAATGAATGGATAAACAAAGTGTGGTATGTACATAAACAGAATATTATTCCATCATGAAATGGAATAAAGTAGTGTATGTGGTACAATGTGAGTGAGTCTGCAAAGCAGTATGTTAAGTGAAAAAAGCCAGACACAAAATATAAGAAATTGTGTGATTCCATTGATAGGGAGTACTCAAAATAGATAAGTCTGTAGAGACTGAGCATAACTTGGTGCCTGCAGGGTCTGAGGAGAGTGGATAAAGGGGAAAAATGCTTAATAGATAAATGGTTTTACTTTGTAGTGATGAAAGGGTTTTGAAGCTAACTAGATGCAGTCATTGTGCAAACTGCGGTTTACAATGTGACCCTGAAGTGTTTACTCTAAAATGGTTAACTTTATATAATGTGAATGTCCCATGCCAAGTTATTAAAAAAAATACTGAGTGGCCATGGTGAAGCAACATCCTATCCCATATTCTCAGAATCACAATTGGTTTGAATAAGTCCACTCCCTGAGGAGAGAATGTGGAGTTTGTCATTATTGATCCTGAGGAGGCTGATGAGGGCTGGAAGTAATTTTACAGTCTTCTTGAGAGATGAATTCAATTTCCCTCTTAAATATATTCTATTTTATTATGACATTAGATTATCAAAGGTTGTGAAAATCACTTCTAATGGCTAAGTTTCTGTCCCATGCGCCCCTTTATTTTCCATGCTTGCCTGAGATTTCAGCTGGTCTCATTGATCCGTCCAAGAAAATGAAAACACGAAAGTATAAATGCTCCTCTTTTGAGATAGATTCTCTCTGTACAATGAGAGCAGATAATTATACTGATGTGGATGGGCAGTTGAGGTTATTCAGACTCAAGTGTTTTACTTTTGACTCTTAAATGGTTTAGATTCACCTACCATATAAATAAAATGACCTGGATAATTATAAGTAGTTTTCACATTTTATGTGAACCAGTCTGTGAAACTATTGGCATTTATTTATACACATATATGAATGGCAGAGCAAGTGCTTTCAGCGGCTATGACATAAATATCTAGACTTTTCACATAAAGAAAGCTATTAGGTTTTTGTGGTGTACATCTTTGCAAACATACTTTAAAGGCTTCTGTATCATGAGAGCCCTCATGCGTACCCATATATAGCTGGGTACTTTGTTACATATGTCACATAAAAGATTCCTAATCCTTAGAATATCCCTGAAAGTTAAGTGTTATTTCCTTATTACAGATGAAATAACTGAGCTTCAGAGAAGTTAGGTGATGTACTCAAGAGAAGTGGGGCTAGGATTCATCTCTAAAGACTTAATTGTGTACAGCTAGGCTACCTTGTAACTGGGATCGCACTGCAGCTCATTCACAAGTTGCAGACCCTTTATGACTATTAGTTTGATTTCCCTAAAGAAAATCTCATCTGTTTGCTCACATGTCTAAATTAGCCTGTATAGACAAGCTATCAAAATATTGGTAGGAATATTGACATTTAACTGCACAGAGGAAATTAGGTATATCAGTTTAAATGAGAGCTTAGGATTTAAAAAGTATTTGAGCACCTGATGTGAATACTAAGGGTGCTGAATGGTGATTGGGGAGGATGTTAAATTTGAGTCATGGCAAACCTGAACCACTGGGAATTTAATGAAGGCAGAGAGATAACAAAACTTGTGTGTCAGTCTACGTCATTTAGAATTTGATGTCAAATAACGCTTCCAATGTGGGTTTTGTCTTCTCCTCATTCAGCTTTAGTACTGTCTTCTAAATATATTGTATTTTCATACCACCTATTCCTATTTCCTATTTTATTGATACTTTCATTACCTGAAGAATTCTTTCATTGGTACCAAGTTTCAACTTTTCTCTTTTTCTTTGTTGAAAGCCTTCTGCTATCATGGTAGTCCCCCAGACGACCTTCTCTTCCCTGAACTATTATAGTATTTTCTTTTTTAAACACATATTTGCAACTTGGCATTTACTTTTGGACTAAGTTTTCTTTTTATATGTTTATTGCTCATCTCTAGAGTCATGAACTCTAGTGGGGTATATCATGGTGTATTATAATATAGTATATTATTGGGGTAAATCACTGATTTTTAGCCCATCATATGCCTTGGACATAGCGCACACTCATCAAATAATATTTGATAAATCTTATAACTCTTGAAGGCAGGGCTTTCTTAAAACGTATTCATAAAAATACCACTTCTAGGAGATATTCTCCTCAAAAAAGGATGGTCGCTGGTCACATAAGTCTATAAGTTCCACTCTAAGAAATTTACACTGTGCATTAGCATTTTCAACATTCTGGGGGGGGGGGGTTCAGTCATGAGACCAAGTTCACTATTTTAACTCAGCATTCACAGCTTTCTCCCGATTTTTTGTAAGAGTCCTACTAATACCTATTATGCTTCAAAAATGTCTTTTGAAAGACACTGCTTTAAAGTGGTTTGTGGGGTACCTGGGTGGCTTGGTCACTTGAGCTCTTAATTTCAGCTCAAGTCAGGATCCCATGGTCATGGGATCGAGACCCAAACTTAAGATTCTCTTTCCTCTCCTCTCCTCTCCTCTCCCTCCATCCCTCTCCCCTGCTTGCTCACTCATTCTCTCTCTCTAAAAAAAAAACCAAAAAACAAAAAACTAATGATAATAATTTTTTTAATTAACAAAATTTAAAACATAGAGATGCCTGGGTAGCTCAATCAGTTAAGCATCGGACTCCTGGTTTCTGCCCAGGTCATGATCTCATGGCTGGAGATGTGCTGGTGGTACAGAGCCTGCTTGGGATTCTCTCCCCATCTGGCCTTCTCCTGCTTGCACTCATGTGTGTGTGTGCATTCCCTCTCTTAAAATAAATAAATAAACTTAAAAAATTTTTTAAAAACTAAAGTGCTTTGTATAAAATACATTAATAATATTCACAAATGTGGAAATTAACTTTTGATTAGACATAGGTTGGGCATTTTGTGTGGCCTCCTTGCTTCTATACTTGGAAAAGCACTACCCCTCAGCTGTGTAGGCACATGTGCGTGTGTTTGTGCATGTGTATGTGACAGAGGAGAGAGAGAGAGAGAGAAGGAGCATCTGTGTGCATGTGTATATACACGTACCATACAGTGTGGACTCAACCTGAAAATAGATTGAGACTAAAAAGAAAATGATTGGAACTGGTCTTTCAGCTTGATTATCTGCTAGAATCTCTATTACTTCTCATAATATGCTTGAAAAGTTTTATTTGTACCTCAGGGGCAATGAGCCTGGCCTCATTTACAAATATGAGTGCAGATATTAACAGTATACTGTCTTATCCTCCAGGCAGTCTTGCTCACTGTCGGCTGGTTTTACTTACTTCCTCAGTAAAGGAATATCCATCTCCTTGGAATTAGACACAATGTAGTTAATGGGAAAAGCAGAAGTTTTGGAGTCAGAGGTTTTAATTTGTTTCCCAGCTCAGAACTATGTGACCCTGAGCACATTTTCTTTCCAGAACCATTGAGTTCTCGTCTGTAAAAGAAGATGGGGTACACTTGCTTCCTGAGAACTTCTTATGAGGAGATACCCCATAAACATTAGTCCCATTTGTAGTAATTCTGTTTTTCAGGCAGATTATGACAGGAGAATTTCACAGGCATAAAGTCACACAGACAAAACTTCTCTTTCCTATAGATGCCATTGCAAATATGTGTTACTACTCCAAACTATAAATGACATCATTATTCTTCATGTCTTCTGTTTTTATGAAGTGATGGTGAACAGGGGAAGTAGTATGAGTTGAACTATAATGAGGAACACTTGAATTCTAAGAATAGTGAGTAAATAACCCAAAAGAGATTTTTTAAATTATTATAATTATTTGAGATATAGAAAAGTAACTTAGAAGTTATTCCCTTAACATCTCTTCATTGCAAAACAAAACAACACAAAACAAACAACTATCCACCATTATTTTTATATATAAAATTTGGGGTTTGAGTAATTCATCAGATCATTCAAAGGGGGAATAATAAATGTATTAGGGAAAATTTAAGATGAGGCTTCAAATTTGTCTCAACATTATATAATAATTTTAATCACAAGTCCATTTCCTCCATGGTCTGGGATTATTTACCGCTGTGTACGAACAATAACAAAAACATCATTTTGCAATAATCTTGCCTAAAGTTACATTTTTGGAGGTAATTATAATTATATAATTATATAGAATTAGAATGATATAATTCTTTGTAGCATGGAATAGAATGGTCAACATAAATTGAGGTTTTCAGGCCAACAGACCACTCCGGCACCTGTTTTGCAGAAAAAGATACATTTATTATGTACAGTTATCAATAGCACGTCAATCATGTCTATCTCTAGCCAGCCATGGCTAAATTGTTCCTGGAAGAAGCCCACTTTATCCCTGTGAAGGATGACAAATGAGAGTTTTGCTGGGGTATCTACCTTTCTAAATGCCAAATGATCTCCTGGCAGTTTTTCTTGACATAAATATTATGAATGGTTGAAGAAACCATCATTTTTCGCACTTTATTGGTTTAGACAGAAGGTGAAGTCTTCTCGGCTAAACTGAAGTAATAGAGGAAGCAATGAACCTAAGTGTTCCTTGGACTGTCCTCAATTGTGCATGAATCAGCATCTGTCTCGATCTGGTTGATTACAGGAGAAGATGTATCAGGGAGTCTCTGCCCAGCATCTCCTCCTCCCGAAAGGATGGCTTGTGAAATTCCCTGCCGAATGGATTGTGTGGTGAGTGAGTGGACGGAGTGGTCATCCTGTTCCCAGTCTTGTTCAAATAAAAATGCAGATGGGAAACAGAGCAGATCAAGGATAATACTGGCATTACCTGGAGAAGGTGAGTAATGGTAAAGGGTTCAACAGGGGAGTCAATTGCCAAATTACTGTTTTTGTTTTATTTTTTTCTCATAAGCACTTGAGAAGGTCATATTGTGGAAGTAGCCACATACAGGTGATTGCTCTATGGCCTGAATCCAAATTAAGTATCATTTCTATGCATGCTTTTTCTCTTTAATTCTCTAGTTTATCTATACTGGGCTTCTATATTTACATGAATTGCCATAGCCCAAACCTATGCAGAGCCCACGGCAATCAGATGGATTTTATTTTTCATTATACTTATTTTGGGGGAAAAAATAAACAAACACAAAGTTTGACACACATCCAGCTTGAGGTAGCTCACACATTTGGGAATATAATTGGACCATGTCTGGTAAAAAGAGCTCCAAATTAGGAATCAAGAGACATGGCTTCTTGACCAGGACCTGCCACCGGCATTGGCAAGCTATCTGATCTGTATGGCCCTGTTTTCTGTTCTGTCACACTGGCATGTTGTGAGAGGGAAGAAGATGAAGGCTCTGAAATGGCTTTGAAGAAGCAAAAATGTGCCATGGAAATGTAAACGGGTGACATCAGAACAAATTGGAGGAGCAGCAGTTTCTATCATTTATAGCAATAGTCTCTGTCCCCAGACACAAACGTCTTTTCTTTCAGGCTCTCCGTCGGCTTCGTCTGCCTCAGGCTCAGTAAGAACAGCAGGACAGTGTGGCCACTAGCTGTGAGAAGCTTCTTTTTAAACAAGATTCTGTTCTATCGTCCTGGAAAATGGGCCAGGGTCAAGATGAATGAAGATTTTCATATTCTTAAAGTGCATTTGCTTCCCTCTCTTGTCTTTTATATTTCTAGAAAGAGAAAAAAGTCAGTAGTATTTAATGGGAAAAAAATAACAAGAATAACAAACCAAGGTCACAAATCTTTTTGAGCGTTTGGCCTGCTGAATAAAATATCATAGGGTGGAAGAGTAGGGGAAAGAAATCAATACTTTAGATAAATGCCAGTTTTTACATGGATATAAAAACATGAAAGAAAAGACAGTAATGAAATTTGATTGTCTGACTCATCCAAGAGTGTAAGGATGCACATCTGCCTGGTCTCCCTGCCAGTGGATAACACATTGTCAGATATTATTTCAGAGTTTCAGGATAGGCTCTCTTCTGCCAAACTTTAAGAGATACTTCTAGTTTCTCAAATTGCAGTAAAATGCATGGCTTGATGGAAGATGGGTGTCTTAAAATGATTCTCTAAGAAAAATAATGCTCTTAGGAAAAAAGAGGCTATATATAGGTAATGTGTGGGCAAGTGTATAGGTTTGACCTAATATCATTTCAAGGTCATGGGCTACAGTAGCTAACAGACTAACTTATGTAGGCATTGTGTTACTCATATAAAAGCAGATTTTTTCGGAGCTTATCTCAGAGACATGTGACCCAGAAGCGGGAAGTAGAATCTGGTTTTTTGTTGATACTGTTGGGCTTTTGTTTTGTTTTTGATCTAGTCAGCATGTGCTGCTACCTATTATTTAGGAGGAAAAGTGCAATATATTGCCCTTAGATTGTTACTCAGGACAAAAGGACCATGGCCCTAGAATGGGCAGAAGGGTGCAGAGGCTCAGGCCTTTGAAATCCTGTGTCAAAAACTACCTTTCTGGACCATTAAAAGAGAAAAAACAAGGGGTCCCTGGGCAGCTCAGTCTGTTAAGCATCTGACTCTTGATTTGGGCTCAGGTTGTGATCTCAGAGTTGTGAAGTTGAGCCCTGGGTAGAGCCCCATGTAGCCTCTACACTAAGCCTGGGGCCTGTTTGGGAGTTTCTCCCAAAACTCCCTGATTCACATTCTTTCTCTCTAAAAATAAATAAATATTTTTTTAAAAAGTGAAAACAGCAAATTTAATTACAGTAACAACAACAGTCTGGTAAGAACAATAGCAAAAACTATGTATCCTTTTTTACTGTTATTTTTTGCAGGTGGAAAACCATGCCCACCCCCTCAAGCCCTCCAAGAATATCGTTCATGTAATGACCATTCCTGTATGCAGCTCTACTGGGAGGCATTGCCTTGGGGGCCCTGTTCTGAAGATACACTGGTAACTGTCCTTAATGCAACCATTGGCTGGAATGGAGAAGCTACCTGTGGTGTGGGCATTCAGACACGGAGGGTCTTCTGTGTAAAGAGTCACGTGGGACAAGTGATGACCAAAAGGTATCACCAATCGTTTGTTGAAAGTGCATATGGGGACACGTGGGTGGCTCAGTCAGTTAGGTGTCTGACTTTGGCTCAGGTCACGATTTCACAGTTCATGGGCTCAAGTCCTGTGGTGGGCATTACACTGATAGTGTGGAAGCCGCATGGGATTTTCACTGTCACCCCTTCTCTGGGCCTCCCCCATTTGTGCTTTCTCTCTCTCAAAATAAGTAAATGAACTTTTAAAAAATTATAAAATACCTTAAAAAAGGAAAGTGCATATATATATATAGTTAAATATTTTTAGTCAAAAACACTTATCAGTTAATGAATATGCTTCAGCCTGCACTAGAGGAAAAGGATTGTGTTCTGTTTGACCATTAAAGACTAGGAAATATCTCTCAAACAAAGATAAAAACAATTATAATACAGATTAGTAAAGTTATGGAAAGTAAATGTGGCCCACCAGTATTGGATCTGTTTGAGTAATCAGACATTTTTTTGACCTCTCAGTATTTTTGGCTCTTCTTCACCCACATAAAGACAAGGCCAGTGTGAAGGTAGTTCCCACTTTGAAAAGATATGGTTGTGTTATGCCCTTCTTTAGGTTCCATTGATCTTTTTTGCCATGGGCAGTAAATCCACATAGACATTTGAATAGACTACTTCATGCTTGCAAGTAGGTTATAATCTCATACATGTTAGACTCTGCACGTGAAGACCTAAATTAAAAAACAAAACAGTAGGATAATTTAGACATGGGCACTAGGATATAGTTACGAAAAAGAGTCAGGGCCGATTGTAAGTGATAGACAAAAAAGAATAATTAGGCAAAAAACTCAGCTGTGGGAGTTTCATCTCTAGATGACCTGACTCTTCCTCATTCCATGTGGGAAGCATCATGGGAAAGAAACTGCAAAGGGTCTACGCAGTGTACAGTGACCAGGTAAACTGCCCTGTCCATGGAGATTTCCTAGTGGCCATACTTGAACTAGTCTCCTTCTTGTGGTAAAAGATCCCACTCGTGGGGTGCCTGGGTGCCTCAACTGGTTAGGCATCAAGTTCTTGATCTCAGGGTCATGAGTTCAAGCCCCGCCTCAGGCTCCATGCTGGGAATGAAGCCTACTTAAAACAAATAAACAAACAAACAAAACTATCCCACTCCAGTCACCAGAATGGTGGGTCACCAGGAGAGGCACATCCAAGCTTTTGTGTAGTGTCACAAACTGGGCAAATTAGTGCCCACAAACTGGGCAAAGATGGGGAGGGTGTACTGGCTGGTGAGGAGCCAGCTGCTACCATGGCAATGAGAAAGGGCAGGGATAAGTACCCTCCAGTGCCCTCTGGTCGAATACTTGTCTGTTGAACAATAGCTAGACTGCTAGACTGGCCCACATTGAGCCAGACTAGGAAGGGCAAGTCGTGTGCTTCAGTGCGTGAGGGGCCATCTGAACACCGGACACCCATTTGCGAGCTCCAGGAACATTTTTACTTAAACCCTCTAGTTGTATTTTCCCTTCCCTCCTTCCCTTCCCTTCCCTTCCCTTCCCTTCCCTTCCCTTCCCTTCCCTAACTCAAACAGCTGATTAATTTCACCTTGGGACATCTTGATGAAAGGCTCTGAGCCTTATCCACACTGGCATGGAAACCACAATCACTACGTAAGCAAAGTCAGAGGAGCTCAGATAAGGGAAGTGAACTCTGGATGGCAGAAGTAGTGCAGACAGGCCAGATCCTGCTGGTGTTGTAGCATCAGAGGTGCAGATGGCTCAGCACATGCAAGCGAAGATAATAGGACTTGAAGTGAAGCACAACCCCAAAGATCTTCTCGCTCTCTCTTCCCAAAGGTGGCTTCCAAGAGGGCTGAAGTTGGATGTTCTTAATCGCACCAACCCCTGACTTTGGCAGTGTTTGGCATATAGCTAGTGTACTGTAAATGTGTTTGAAATCCACGAATAACTAGATTTATGTGTAGGAAAGTTACAGGGTTCAACAAGGATTGGGTATGAATCACAGAAGATTGAGAAAAGCTGATGTCTATTTTTGTCCAAGAAAAATTATTTGATCTACCGTCATAACTTTTGGCAAAGGGGACTGCCATAGAGAGTAATGACTGGATCATGTGTATGATCTTCTACTCTTGTTAATTCATAAATGTTATTTCTGCTTCAGACCTGACTCGACATTGCTTGTGATGTTTTTTGGAGTGTCCGCTTATGTCAGTTATGTTTTACAACTCACCTGGTATGCATAGCACTACATGGACTGATTGAATCAATGGGAATTATAGCCAAACATGGAAAACAATGCTCACATATCACCAAGCTAAGGTGAAAATCTAATTCATGGGGTTATGATAAAATCTTAAAAAGTTTATAAAGATATTATGCAGATATGAGAACTTCTTTTTTTGTTTTAATTTTTTTAATGTGTGTTTTTTTTTTTTTAATTTCTGAGAGAGAGAGAGAGAGAGACAGTGTGAGCAGGGGAAGATCAGAGAGAGAGGAAGATGTAGAATCTGAAGCAGGTTCCAGTCTCTGAGCTAGCTGTCAGCACAGAGCCTGACACCAGGCTCAAACCCTGGAACCGTGAGATCATGACCTGAGCCGAAGTCAAGACGCTTAACAGGAATAAGCCACCCAGGCGCCCAGAGAACTCCTTTTATCTTGGGAAGGATTGTAATGTTCTTTTTATGATGTAAATTTTCAACTGCTTAAGAAGATGCATGAAATACTGACTTGAATATACAAATAAAACTAAGTATGTCTTGGGTATAGTTGTAAACCCTACATAAAATGCAGCAAACTGTTATTCCTTAGAATGATGAGGAAATTTAGCATATCTGATCTTCTCCCTTACACAAAACTTATCAGCTCTTGGGGCACATGGGTGGCTCAGCTGGTTAGGAGACTGACTCTTGATTTTGGCTCAGGTCATGGTCTCATGGTTTGTGAGTTAGAGCCCTACATCAGGCTCTGCAGTGACAGAGTGACAGCCTGCTTGGGATTCTCTCTCTCCCACTCTCTCTGCCCCTCCCCTGCTGTGTACTCTCTCTCTCTCAAACTAAAATTAAAAAAAACAAAAACCTTTTTAGCTCTGAACCAGAACAGGGAACTCATATCCACTTGATATGAATGCAGTTTATTTATTAGCAAATGAACATTAGACTTGAGACCAACACCAAATAAATTGTCACATTTAAAAGTCAATTTGGACATGAAAAATTGGATTGCATGTTCAAGTAGCTCCTATTCCTTTTCTATTCTAGAATTACTTCAAATGATCGTGTTTTTTTTTAAGCCAGAACACATAAATGTTATTATTACAGCTAATAGCCTCCAGTTTTGCTCAGTTTACCATCACAAAAAAATGAATTGCACAGATGTTTTCCCTAACACACACACAGACACACACACACACACACACACACACGGTGGGGGAGAGATACAGAGAGAGACATTGCTAATTACTTTTTACACTGCTAATGAGGCTGGAGACTTAACAATTTAGGTTGAATTCTTACTGTATATCTCCAAACAACCCTGCTAAATATGAGGAACCTGAACTGGCTTGAATAAAATTAATTAAAAATATTTAGGTTAAGGAGATTAATTGAGGTAAGAGATTAATACCTAGTGTCCAGTGAAACACATAGTGAGATAATGAAAGTGTCAGCAGAAAATACCCTTTACTCTGCCCTTTCAAAAATATATATTTTTGTTCTTTTTCAAGTGAAAACTATTGCAGTAGGAGAAGATTCCCTGCCATTTGTGAAATCCTTGGAGTGGGAGTAGGGGAATAGAAACAGAAAAGAAGGAAATATGCTGAGGAAGGAGGGCCTTTGAGGGGAGAGAGAAAGAGGCATGTCTCCATGGACCGGATGGCTAATATAATGTGTTTTATCTCCAAACCCGCTGCACTGGGAGGCAGAGTTCCTTGCAAGTTCTTGCTTCCCTGGGTTGGTGTTGTAGTTTCTATGCAGTTGCATAGGTGAGAATGTTACCATTGTATGAGTAATAGAACTGATCATATCAGAAAATGAGAACTAGCCAGGGCACAAGTGGAACAGAAGTAAGAGCTTATTGGGATAGTACTAGGGTTTTGTTTGGTTTTGTTTCACTATTTATTGTCTTTTTTTTTTTTCCAGTTGCAGTGTATAAAAATAATAAAAAAAGATTAAAAACACACAACTCAAAGCCTCCTGAAAGCCCTGATAAGGCACTTTCTGCCTTTAATGTGAAAACACCTGGCATTGTGTGAGATATAATAATAGAGAGCTCCATTTAAACATTTAATGTTGATAAACTTGGCAGGTTTGCCCCACCTCGCTGAGTGAGACGTACATTCGTTCCTGGGTTGGAGGATTGATCAAAGAAATGGAGCATTGTGTCTGCATCTTGATTATGGAGGCATAACTGAAAAATGGCAGGTCTTTGTAGCTCAGTTTGATGCATTTCAGCACAGTGTTTATAAGGAACTGAAGGCTACAGAGCAACAAAGAGATAATAGTTATAGAGCATTCTAGTGCTAATCCGGGGAAATATATGTGCTGAAATAAAATACATTCAGCCTTTTATTAAGACCACTGCCAATCCAGGGTCAGAATGTTATGCAAAATTAGGAAGTATAAATTATGACAAAAACCAAGGGGCCATACTTTGTTTACTAAGTAAACAGTGAATCCATATGTTTCCCTGGATTGTAAGGCTTTAATTTTGTTTAGGGAATGGCTGGATAAATTAGACTAATATCCCCAGGGGTTTATTTGTTTTTTGTGCTCCAATAACATTGAATACGATTGAATCATTTATTAAATATTTACACTGAGCCAAGATATGGCACATTTAAGATACAATATAAGATGGGTTCCACATCAAGGCATTAAAAATTAGTTTATGCATCGTGCATGCTTACATAGACACACACACACACACACACACACACACGGAAACAGCATAAGACATGTCAAAAGCCTTTTTTGGTCAGTGTCAATACAACAATATAGAAAATAAGCCTTATAGTTTTTTTTTAAATGAAGGGCAGATATGTTGCTGATGGTGAGAATATTTTTGAAGACTAAGAAGAAATTTACGCAAATTAGAAATGTGATGAGAGGATTCTTGAAGGGGTAGACACAATCCAAGGAGAAAGGAAGAGGAAGTTGAACCCCTGTGGAAAGGGGTTGCAAAAGAAATGAAGAAAAAAAAACAGTTTTCACTGACAAGAGAATGTTTGGCTCCTATCAGACCAGAAGTCACATTCTAGGAAAGATCTCAGTTCATGGCCTCTATAAAAGGAATATAACTTGAGCTTGATCTTTGCTATTGAGAAGATGATACCGTTTCTCTTATGGACTTAAGGGAAGAAAACACAGAGAAAGAGGCTGTTTTATGGAAAGTTGACATTATGCCCAGTAAGTATCTACTGTGCATGATGCTAATAAAGGGTAAATGAAGTAGACAACTTGAGTTCCCTGAAAGAGATTAACACCTGCTCCTAACTGAAGTGAGCAAAATCCCTGCAGGATCAGCCTCCTTCTTCAGAAAGCCTGAAGCCAGTGCCACAAATATTATTGAGCTTATTTTACCAATGCAAGAGTGATTGTGAAGTGCCTCGTTGGGCGTGGGGCCCCTGCTGCCCCACCAAGCACACAGGAACTTGGCGTTGCCAGAGTCATACTTCATTTCTAACCATATACCACAGGCACTTTTGGAAAGGGGTTATAACAAACAGGAGCTCCATTTGATTTTAGTAGACCTTAGAGTATGAATAAAAGACTTGGGAATGATTTTAGTGTTTTTTGCTATCTCCAGTAAAGTATGACATAAATTTTCCTTACCTGAATAGCTCGTTTAAGTAACAGTATATTCTGATAAAGACATTCCACTTTCTTTCTCTTATTTTGTTTATTGAATTGATCTCTTTGATAAATAGTGTCTCTGTGTATATTAAGTATAATTGATAACAATTATAAGCCACTAGAATCTCCTCAATGGCTCAATCCGTTAAGTAACTGACTCTTGGTTTCAGCTCAGGTCATGAACCCAGGGTCATGGGATCAAGCCTTGCATGGGGCTCCATGCTGAGCGAAGAGCCTGCTTGGGATTCTCTCTCTTTCTTCCCCTTCCACGCTCTCTAAAATTAATAAATACTAATGATAATAATTAAAATAATAATACCGCTAATAACTAATTTACTGAACAGTTCTTTTTCTGTGAGTGTATGCATTTTCTTTTTTCTTTTTTATTATAAATAGTTTATTGTCAAGTTGATTTCCATATAACACCCAGTGCTCATCCCCACAAGTGCCCTCCCCCATGCCCATCACTCCCCCTCCCCCCCCACACCCATCAGTCCTCAGTTTGTTCTCAGCATTCAAGAGTCTCTCATGGTCTGCCTCTCTCCCTCTCCCCCACTATTTCCCCCCTTCTTCTCCCCCACAGTCCTCCGTTAAGTTCCTCCTAATCCTCCTATACGTGCAAACATANTAGGTGTTAACAATTTTTTCTTTTAGTTTATAGCCAAGTTGGTTTACATATGACACCCAGTGCTCTTCCCAACATGTGCCCTCCTCCATGCCAATCACCTCCCTTCCCCTCTCCCTCACCCCCACTCAGCCCTCAGTTTGTTCTCAGCATTTGAGAGTCTCTCCTGGTTTGCCTCCCTCCCTCTCCCCAACTATTTTTCCCCTTCTTTTCCTGCTTCGTCCTCCGTTAACTTCCTCCTAACGCACATATATGTGCAAATATATGGTTTTTGTCCTTATCTGCCTGACTTATTTTGCTCAGCATAACACCCTCAAGGTCCATCCATGTTGCTACACATGGCCAGATTTCATTCTTTCTCATTGTCATGTAGTATTCCATTGTGTAGATAAACCACATCTTCTTGATGCATTCGCCCGTTGATGGACACTTAGACTCTTTCCATGTTTTGGCTCTTGTTGAGAGTGCTGCTATGAACATTGGGGTACATGTTGTGAGTGTATGCATTTTCTATTTTAACTTATTTTTATCAGTTTTATACACTTCATAGAAGAAAGAAAATAATACAGAGAAACTGATAATGGCAGTCAACAGGTCCCGACCATCTCATGCTCTGTGTAGTATCCCACATCTCAAACACAACCACAGCGACTTTTCAACAGTTGTTCTGTCTGTCTCTCTATTTTGACTGGGTGAGCCTCCACAATCATAACATGACTCACATGTTCACAAATCATAACATTTGTGTTATGGTTCACAAAGCACAACATGCAAAGACATATACGGCAAAGAGAATCCTCACGCTCACACCCCTGCTCCCTTCCACCACCCCCACCTCCTGTCCCGTCACTGACATCTACTGTATTAGTTTCTTACCCCCATCCATTATGCCTTTATGTCAATGCAGACAAGCACAAGTATATATCTGTAGGCCTCCTCCCTTTCTAATGTTTACCTCCGAACTCAAAATAATGCATTTTCCTCATATCATTCATAAATCTCTTCATTTGTCAATAAAATTGCCCATCCCTCGATTCCCTCTCTTGAAAGCACAAACCTGAGCCCATGTACACTAACTCCTGTTTTGACTCCCAGATGGTCAGTGTTCTGTTGGCAGGTTACATTAGTGCTTTGAATTAATCTCTTTAGAGCTTTATTTCTGTTTTCATTTATATTTAGATTGGCACTCTGCCTACCTGCTTTGTCAGATGAGGATAGTCAAGCCCCAGCTCTGACTCCATCCCCTCCCATCTCCCCTGCTTTGTCCACTGTGCTTTACCTTACGGTGGTAAGAGTGATATCATGTATATTCTGGTCCATGGTCAAGTTCAGCCCCCATGTTTGGCTTATATATTGTTTGTATTCTAAAGTTTTAAAGCTAAGAAAATGTTTTTATTTTGTTAATTATCTAAATTGATGAGGTCTGACGTCAGCCAGATTCTTCTCCATTCTTGGGTGACCAATTATTCTTCCTCTTCTCCTATAAGCATTATTGTCTGTTCTCTTACTTCTATGAGGTATAGAAAACTGGACAACCTTTGTGTTTGCACATTGGACATTTTGAATACATTTGGCGGACTTTTCATCTAAATTGTCATGTTTTTGTCAGCTCTGTGTTTCTTTTTAATTCATTATTTCCTTGTTAATTTTGTATCCTCTATTTTCTGTTATCTTCTTCTATAAGGTCAATTGATTGTCTGAACTTGCTACACTAATGTTTTGTACCATATGTTTTTCTCAAATGTCCTGTCCCCATGTAGCTTTGGGTGCACGTTTGATTATTTCAGGGCCTCAGTTTATCATCCAAAAATGATGGTTATAATGCCTCTCACTGTTGTCATTAGGAATAAATAAGAGAATGTAGCCAGAGCACTTAACTCAGCCCTGGCTATCTCATGCTATTAAGCTTTACACACACTGCAATTATGTGCTTTATGAGGAACTTATGGGAAACAGAATTTTAAATGCAAATATATGTTGCTGAGTGCTTTCCTGTTTTTCTTCTTGGGATATCACTATTTTAGAAGATAATAAATGTGGTTTTTAGTCCTCTGTATTCATAAAACAAATAAGTAGGCAAGAAAACAAAAACTTGATTGCCATTTTCTGAGACTTTAGTTCTTCTAAGTGATTATAAATTAAATAACTGTAGTATTTTCCTCCCAAGTATGAACATTCATTCTCAGCAGAGTAATGGAATTAAAGTGTTGCTCTTGTCAATGCTAGTTAGCATATTTGGCGTTTGCCTTCTGTCCAGTTTTGCTTACTTCAGCTCTTCAATCCATGTGTTCAAAAGAGATACCTACCAATTGTTTAAATATTCTAGAATTCCATTCATTATCAAAAATGGAAAGCAAATGTAAGTGGTTTTTGGTGGCTTTTGTTTCCCACTGTGTTCATATTGCCTTGTGTTTTCCTGCTCCTTTTGTAGTATATCACAGACTTGATATATTACCCTGAATACAATGCTTTCCAAAAAATATATCAGGTGTGTTCATTCTGCAAAGAAATCAAATGTCACTTGAATTGATGCTGACGGCGAGACACTTTCTTGGCATTTGCCTTTCATTAGTTTCAGGCATTGCTGTTTTCCTGGACTAGTGAAAAAATATTTTGGTCTCCCGGTCAAGAGAGCTGAACTCTGCTTTGGCTCTGCCTCTGCCTGGGAGCCCTCGCAAGAGGCCTCACCTCCTTGCCTCTCTCTTCCTTGTCTGTAAGAGTTAAAACAGAACTTCAGTGTTTTCTGTTCTGAAATCCTATAGTTCTATGCTAAACAACTTACTCTTTCCAGGAGGCACTGATATTGTCTCTTCACATTGACAGATGTCCAGATTCCACTCGGCCCGAAACAGTGCGTCCTTGTCTTCTTCCATGCAAAAAAGACTGTACTGTGACAGCTTTCAGTGAGTGGACGCCCTGCCCAAGGTCATGCCAACCAGGTCGGTGCATTCTGTTTTCTTAGTGTTTTCCTTCCCAACCACCCAAATTGTCTTCCCCACTACTGCATAAACGAGAGATTGTAGAATGGGAGCATCTTTATTTTTCATTTGCATGTCCCCCTGTGAAACAAGGTTGGAAAAATCTGTAAGTGAAGTCTTGGATTTCTGGATCTACCAGAACATGGCAGGGGAAACCTATTCCGTGATTCTGTGCCAGAAATTTCACTGGGGTGCTTTGCAGGAATGCTCATCTTCTCTTAACCCTGTGGTGGTATTTTGAACAGCCATTCAAATGTGACTCCTTATAAGTCCTCAACACCATCAGTTTCTTTCTGGCTCCTGTATGCTGAGAGTCTGACTGTAGGCACCTTTATTAGACTATAGGGCCTTAAGCACTGTGCTTACACCACTGATAAATATAAGCCTGTGGAAGAACAAGGGCCAATGCATGAAAAGTTTTGAATAAGTGCAAAAATTGGCAATATAAGATTTGTGTTTCTTTACTGTAAACGTTGATACTTCTATACACCAAGGTGTATTTGCAGGGCAGTGATCCAAGATCCTAAAAAGCACATAGTTCTTTGGTAGAATGACCCTCTTTAATGGAGCAAGTCTTTCCTCCCAGCACACTGCACTCCCCTGATGAGCTAATCCATGTGTAGATACCAGCACTCCTAGGCCAAAACTCCCATTTTTACAGAAGGCCTAGAATTAATACTTTGGTTCTTCTCCCATAGTCTTATTCCCTGGTCTTGGTCTTCTAGATCTTACCATTGCCACAGTAAGAAAAGGCAAATCCAAGAAAACGAAGGATGCATAGAATCGTAACCCTAGTGCCCAGAGTAAGTTGGATTTCATACACATAGCCTAGCCTCCTCTAGGTAGTTACATCTTCTTAAGCAAGATAAAGCTATATTTATCTTTAAATATAGCTCCTGGAAGCTCCTGGAAGAAGGGACAAGGAAGTACTGTCTGCAGCTCTGAAAGGAGAGAACCTGCCACAGAGGTTGAGAGCACCTTTCCTTGGGAAGTTCCATCCCTGCGCATCTAGGATCCCCTAAATGTTCTTTGACTCACACATCATCATGGGAGTGATGTGAAAATATGTTGAGATAGATCTGCCTGAGACTTCAAACTCCCTCTTAGTGACTGGCAAAGGGATAGTGAAAGCTAATGAAGATTACTGTTGTCAGTGTCGTATAGCGCAATGGTGGGGAAACTGAATAAGGTTTTCATAATTGTGCCATTTCATCTTCTTAATGGCATTTTGTCACGGGATTAATATAGTTGTATCCAGTGAGCTTTCTGATGGGTAGAATTACAAATAAATATTTTGAATATGAAAAAGCTTTGAAAAATATAGTGGAATAATTTTCTGATCTTTTAAGGGATGGAAACAATAGTCTCTTCCAGGAACCTTTCCAAACTTATTCTCCTGCATGGGGATATAAAGTAAGGGAACTGAATGAACAGGGTTTGCAGAGTAACCAGGGGAATGTCATTTCCAGACAGAGGAAAAAGAAAATATTGGAAAATGCAAGAAAATAAAATAATATATGATGATGGAGTTTTATTGAGATTCAGCTGTTTCTTTTAGATTCTTCCTCATGAGAGATTAGCATAATTCCTCTGTTAAATGATTATAGGAAAGGAAAGACTGAATTCAAAAGAAGACCCCACTGGCAGCCAGGTATTGGTGTTGGAGCTGTCACGGTCCCCTGAAGGGAGGGAGGGAGGCATAGTCGTTTTATTGAGCCAGTGTCCTCTAGTGACCAGAGATTATTTCAGCTACTGCTCTTGCATGCATTCTACAAGAAAATTCTCTGCTGGCTGAGAGTCTTCTAGTGCTGGCTAAGGATGGAGGGGTCGTAGAGCAAGTGAAATAATTGCTCTTCCAGCAATTTCAAATTTTATTTCAATTTCCAGAAATTCAATTAGTTATTTAAATGGTTGGCATTGTGATGAAAATCGTTCTAAGCCTCTGTGGTCCTTTTTTTCCTCCAATTTTTCAAGCCTAGATAATTCCTTTCACAGCCTGGCAGTCAGGGGACCTAGAGGACCAAAGATTCAATTTTCAGATTTATTCCAACTTTCCACTTCAATCCTATTTACCCTCATGTTTAGTTTATACCTTGGGACCAATATATTATTAAATAACCATGGCTTAATTAGGAGAGACTATGTGAGGGAGGATAATATTAAGTGAAATTGTACCTCTAAACCTATGGTTCTCACACTTTATTGTCTCTGAATCACCTGGAAGTATTACTGAAATGCATATTTTGGGCTCCACAGCTAGAAATTCTGATTCATTAACTATGGGGTTGGTTCTCAAAAATGTGAGTTGTTAAGAACCTCCTCCTGAAAAGTAATATACTCTCCTTCTGGTGATAAAAAACCAAAAACAATAGATCCATAAACAATCACTGCTTGAACTCCTGACATATGGCCTGTTTTCAGCTTCATAAATGCATTGTGCTCTTCCCAGCTCAACAGGTGTAGAGTGTGATGTCTGAGAACACAGATGCAGGAGCCAGATAGGCAAGACTGAGTTTTAAAATTTGCTCTGTGATGGGGACACATTACTTTATCTCTCTGTGCTTCCATTTCCTAGACTGAAAAACGGGTTTAAGAGTCATACCTACATGTATGGAAAGCACCTAGAGCACTGCCTTGCATGGAGTAAGCCCTGGACAAGCATTTCCATAGTTGCTCTGAGCCTTTGCACCTACGCTGTGTGAAGCTGACACTGTATTCAGATGCCCCTCCTACTTCAACCCTGTGCATCCACAGGGACCTGCATTAGCGGCTTTTCCCTGGGGAGTGTTATTCTCATGTTTGAGATGTCCCAGGTGTGTTAGGCCGTCCCCAGCTCACTTCATTAAGTAGATCATCCCACGGCATCCTGCACATCCTCCTTTATGACATCCTTATCTTTCCATGTCAATATTGTGCTTGCTAGAAATCCATGAATGCAGAGACCATTTCTGTCATCTTCACTGATGGATCGTCTAAACTCAACACAAGATGGGGCATAGTTGTCAGTCAATAACTCTTTTTTGAAAGGACAAATGTCCTGTAAAGAGAGAGAATGGTATGACTTTGAATCTACGCAGGATATTGTCTGTCCTTGAGAATGTCTTTCCAAATATACTTTGGATAATGATGCTCTTAAATAATACTTCTCAAACTTAAATGCTCATACATTACTAAGATCCCCTCGGGATCTTAGTAAATACAGATTTGAATTCAGTAGACCTAGGTGGAGCCTAGAATTGTACCTTTCTGTAAGCTTCCAGGTAATAACTATATCTTGGTCACAAATCTCCAGGTCCAGGTGGGGTTCATTAGAAATTTTTGAGCAAGGCAATGACATGGTCAAAGTTGCAAGTGAGAAGCATAGACGAGGAGCAAATCAGCAGGTGGGCAGGTGAGGGGCTGTGTAGGGTGAGGAGAAGTGATATCGCCTAAACTGAGAGATCAGGAGAAGCATGGGCCAGAGCAGGTAACAACGTTGGCTAATGAGGAAGGAGGAGCTTTTGTCTTACAGGTGTGATTTCAGATTGGGTCATCAAAGTTAAGAATAGTTTATGTTCATAGTCTCTAAATTTGGCTACACAGTAGAATCACCTACAGATCTCTAGGATATACTTTTATGTTTGGATTCTACGTTAAGACCTTATGACGTAACAGGTTTTCATATGATCAGGGAAGCACTGAGTGATATGGACTTCATATCTCTCTCAGAGAGCCAGGGGGGATGCAGGGGCCTGAGTATACCAGGAATGATTTGTGCCTAAGCATTGGGTGAATTGTGTCAGCTTTTATTTGCTCCTGGCTGGGTTCATGAGCTAAATCCTTATGACTTCAAAGTATTCTCAAGCCATGAATGCTCTCTAGCTAGTGGTCAGCCACTGCTCTGGCCTTCATACTCCTCCTTGCCTGAGTCTCTCCTAAAATGATTAATGATAGTCACACATTCTTCTAAGAAAATCAGATATTTGTCAAGCTGTGGCCTTGTTGTGGTCTCTCTGATTCTTACACCCCAGTAATAAATTAGCCAAATGATCAAGAATCATCCTTCGGGGGCACCTGGGTGGCTCAGTCAGTTGAGCGTCCAACCTGGACTCAGGTCACGATCTCACGGTTCGCGGGTTCAAGCCCTGCATCAGGCCCTGAGCCTGGTTCGGATTATCTATCTCCCTGTCTCTCTCTGCCACCTCCCCACTCTGTCTCTCTCACTCTGAAAAATAAACGTTAAAAAGATTTAAAAAAAAAAAGAATCATCCTCTGGTACATTCTTGCTGTTTTCTTTAATTCTTCCTTCAGCCTGTAAAGCAAAGGACTGCCTGAAGTATCCAATATTATTTGTTTAATGATGGCAACAGTTTCCTTATTGTGGAGGTTCTCAGCCCTGTGGAGATTTTTGTTGTTGTTGTTGTTTTTTTTTTCAATGTATCAATGTCCCAGATTCACCCTAGGCCATGTTAGTCAGTATTGCAATATTAAAACTCTCCTTCAGTGACTATTAATAAGTGGGCAGGGATGAGAAACATTTGGTGCTTTATACTTTGCAACATGCCTTCACATACATTTTAACCTGTTGTAAGAGACCATTGATAATTGTTTGTCTGGGTGTTATTGGGAATTAGTCTTGGCCATCACACTTCATGCTCTTCCTTTAAAGTCAGAAATCAATACTGATTTTCCAGGATTTCTCTCAGGTTATCTTTAAAGGGGTGCACTTTATGTTTTCAGCATTGAATGATATGAAATTTCAGATGTATACATAAATTAATACGTTAATGCAAAATATTAATGATCAATAGAATGTGCTCTTATGTTACCCTCATCAGGTGAACACAATCACCAACTTATCCGCACTCTTGTTTTCCCCATGCTAACATCATCCCCCTTTTCACCACCCCTCCCATGGATAATTTGAAATAATTCCCAAATGTGTATACCACTTCCATAGAAGGGAAAATACATAGGAAGTA